GCTCCACGATCTTGCCCGCCTCGTAGGTGACATCGTCGTTGATGTAGCACCAGGCGGCGTCGCCCTTCTGCCACTCGGCCATGAGGCGCTTTTTCCGCGCGGGCGCCGGCTTTTTCCTCGCGTGCAGCGGCGGCGTCGAGGAAAGAAAGTAGTACGCGGGGCGCCGTCGCCTGTATGTTCTTGGCAAAGGAAGACACAGAGCTCACACAAAATCACAGTGGGTGGCATGGCCATATGTTTTCTTTCTTTCTTTTAGAAAAGTCATGGTAGAGCGACGTCTTGATCCATGCAGGGCCATATGACTGCAGAGAAGCAACGCCCTCTCCACAGGAAGGACGGACCGCCCGCCCGCCACGTCAAAAACCCAAATTCGCGCGAAACGTGTGGTACGCTGCCGTACGCACACATGGAGAGAGAGTTGGAGCGGCGGCGTCGAGGAAAGAAAAGTGAGAGTCACGCGGCGCCGTCGCCAGAAAAGTCATGGTGGTCCCAGAGGGGGCGCCCCAGAGACACATAAACTGGAAGAAAGAAGACTACGAGCTGTTTGTGGGGCACGGACACGGGGCGAGCGCGATCAGAGTAGGGGAGCTACAGGAGGACCCCCTCACGCGCTTCTTGCTCAGATACGACGAATTTGAGAGGGGGGAGAGCTGACGGACGGCAACGGAAAGCGAATTAAGATGGGAAAAGACAGCGAGCCGCTGCGGTCGGGGAAGGGACGAGCCCTGAACGTGAAGGTAGCGCAGACATGCCTCGCGTTGCACGTCTCACACCAGTTCACACACTTTGCGGCGACGGACGGAGGAAAGGACCATGAAGACAAAATGGCGGAGGATGGAAAGTACGTGCCGAACCCTAGGGTGGCGTACGGCGTGTTCTCGAAGGACCGACACGATTCGGAAAGAGCGTCCCGGGAGACGCACAGGTAAAGGATCCCAACGGAATCGGACCCTGTGAAGAAGGGGAGATACGGACAGCGTTTGGGGCGGGAATGTGGGGAGGAAAGCTGCCGAACATGTGGGAGCCGATAGACGCGGAGATGTACGCGATACTCGCATACTTACGCAAAATGGCGAGCGCGAGCGACGCGCAATCGCGGAGGTGCTTAGTGCTATGCGACTGCAAACCCGCGCTGCAGCAGATTGAGAATGCGCACCGCAAAGGGATACCAGAAGGCCTGAGGGACTGGGAGAGAGGCGGGCTCCTGGAGGCGATCGCTTACTATAGATCGAAGCTAGAGGCGGTGGTCTTCATGTGGGTGCCAGCACATGTGGGAATAGCCTGCAACGCTTACGCCGACGCGGTGGCGACAGCACACCTCGGGGACAACGACTCAGAGGACGCCTCGAAAGTGGTGCGGGACGCGGTGCGGACGCGGCCATGCATGTACACGGTGCGAAGGGAGGCGGCAGAGAACGCAGAGAAGAGGGAGATAGTGGACCGACGGACGTACGGACACATGTGTAAGAGCGCGCACGAGTGGGTGTGCGAGCAATATCGAAAGACAGTGAGGCCGGGGTCGCACACGGCAGGGGTGGCAGGACGGTTGTGGAGCGAAGTGGCAGTAGCCAGCCTCAAGCATCGATGGGATAATAAGATGAGATTACCAGACGAGAACGGGGGGAAGGACAGGCGGGCGACATTTGACGACGTCGGGGATCACAATGTGACGACCAAAACGATCTTGGGGGCCAGGGCGAGACAACAGGTCGGGGTGCCACATGGGGCACACCACAGGCGTATTCTAGAGGGGGAAAAGAAACGGGGAATGAGGGGCCCCGCCACGAGAAGTGCGTTCTGGGGATGCAGAGCGTGCAAAGCGGCTAGGGATGAGGTCACAAAAGAGGCGCGCGAGGCAAGGAGGAGACGCGGGGAACTGAGAGACTGGGACGACTGGAAACAAGAAGACAGTGAGCCACCACAGGCGTCGTTGGCGCACATACTGAGCGGCAGCTGCGCTGGAAATAAGGAAGAGGCGCGTCACTTCATGCGGAAGCTCGATAAACACACAGCGAGGGCGACAGCAAGAGTTCAACGGGAGGCGCCGGACTCAAAAGACACCGCCACATTCCTGAGACGAGCGAGGGCAGCCTCCTTAAAGGCGAAAGGGTCTAGATTTGGGGCGCTCGCCGAAGAGGAGTACGACAAAATAGCGCCCGTGATTGCCTGCACGCTACCCCCTACCCGCACAAGAAAGAGAAGGGAGCTCGCGGGAGAGGTGACGAGTGAACTACAGGTAGTGGGGAAGGCAGCCTCGATTGCCATACAGACATGGGTGCGAAACAACGACAAGACCAAGGCACGGGCAGAGGAACGAGAGAAGAATATAGGGTGGATAAAGCGCCTGTTCACGGCATGGAGGGTGAGCCACACCGAACGTACTGAGCGAAGAGCCGAGCGGAAGGAGGACGGGGAAGATGACTCAGAGGAGGACGAACCAGAGCGGCCGCACTCTGCTCGCTACCCCCCCTGCACAACTAAGCTCATCCCTGCTGCTAGGGGGGGGGGGGTCTAACCCCCCCAGCAGCAGAGCGCTCCTGCTGGGGGGGGGGTCCCGACCCCCCCCAGCAGCAGAGCGCACTGGACCCAGCTCTCCCGCCTCCTCGCCGCCGCCCCCCCCTCTCCGCCCTCGGTTCGTGTTTAAGCGGTACTCGTACGCTCGAGGCGGTTGTGTTCGCCGCGCCTTCGAGCCCAATACACCTCGCGAGAAAGCGCTGCGCGGTACTCGGCAGTGTCGCAGTGTCGAGCAACACTCGGTGTCAGAGCGTCGCGCCTCCATCAGTAGTCTCATCATCGAGTGATTGCTGGCCTGTGGCGTATGACCTCGCGCGGATATCACCAACGACGAGCATGCGAAGATAGGGAACAATATCTTGTACAGCCCGCTGTGCTCCCCGCTGTGCCACGGCGTACGATGGGCTGCGAGAGCCGTATCTACTTCCCTCCTTGAAGCAGAGGAGCCGCGAGGCACGAGAGGCGTAGAAGAGAGGCTGGCGTGCCCCGCACCTCCCGGTTGGCAGTAGGAGGGCCCGCCGGTGAGACCACTGATTTTGATGCCACTATAAATTCTCGCCACTGGAACGCATGCTACTTACAGCTGCTGTCTGTACAGAGATGCCAGCATCCCCCACAGGCAGAGCGCTCCTGCTGGGGGGGGGTCCGGACCCCCCCAGCAGCAGAGCGCTGCTGCTTGGGGGGGGGTCCCGACCCCCCCAGCAGCAGAGCGCTGCTGCTGGGGGGGGGGTCGGACATGAGCTTAGTTGTGCAGGGGGGGTAGCGAGCAGAGTGCGGCCGTTCCCAGTGGAAATTCAGTTGTCAGATGTCACGATGCATCCGAAGGGGACTCCAGCGCCGGCATCATCCGTAGAGGCACGAGTGTTCGAAGAGAGAGTGGACCTGAGCAACAACATGACCTGCAGGCAAATGATCGGAGTGGGAGTCAGAAATGTGGTCCTTGCGCGAGGGGAGCTCGATAGACTCGAGGGGCCAGGATACGCCGCGAGGAGGACGGAGTTGCGCCGAAAGGCGAAAGAAGCCGCGAGAACAAGGGACCGGCAGGCGGCGGCGTCGCAGGACGAGGCGGAAGAGAACGACGCGACAGAGGAGGAAGTGACAAGGGAGAGAACGACGAGAGTGGGACGGCCGCGAGGTGGCATGAAGGTTGCAGCGAGAAGCGGCGAGAGACTGCGAAAAGAGATACGAAGAGGCAGACTCCCCAGGGTGGGCGACGGCTAGCGCATCACACTCCTCTCTTGAGCACTTGAGCACTGGATAGGGTCGATTCCGCATGGTACGGGACCCCTCGATCGTCTCGCCCTCCCTCACTGGTGTGTTCATTGGGGGGGGTCATAACAAACACGGTGCAGGATCGAGGTGCACGCTGCAGGAGCAGTGTCGTCCCCCCTCTCCCCGACGGCGATGGCGGTGTGACCGATCGAGCTACAAGAGGAACTTGTTCAGCAGGATCCGGGTTAGCCCGCGCACTACCTCACTGGGCCTGAGACCGCTGAGACGCTTCCCGTCACCGTCTCGGATTTATGTGGAGTCGAACCACTCCGGGATGGGCAAGCCCATCGTTCTGATTTGCGCCTTTCCCTCACCTGCAGGAGACAGCTGATGGTAAGCGCGCCGTGCCGGCAGGGCCGGGCAGGGTGTGTGGGGGGAGGGGGTGGTGTGTGCGTGTGTGTGGGGGGGGGGGGGGCTCTTCCAGGCGAAAACGGCAATCGTAGCAACTTCAAGAGCTTGTTAATTGTCAAAATTCAAAAAGCATCAATTAATAATAGTAAGGAAGACATGTTGCCCGGCCGTTCAAGAAGTCCGTCTCGATTTTCGTTTTTTCCCCACAGACCACTCGGGCAACTTTTACGAAAGGCAAAGTTTTACTTGACCACTCGACCACTCGGGCAATTTTCACGAAAGGCAAAGTTTTACTTGACCACTCGGGCAGATTCGATTGCATTTTACCATTCGGGCAAACTCGATGAAACGGGCGGACGGAAACGCGTTTGCGACGGCTCGCCGGAGAGCATGCATGGAGCGGCCGGTGCGCCGCCGCAGCTCACCGATGGAGCCTGCGTCGCGGCTCAATCCACTGACGTAGCAGCACTGCGACACACTCTCCAAGCACGGCCTCTGGCGTTGCGATTGCACAGAGAGCGAGCAATAAGCGCCAAAAGCACAGATCTGTGTGCAGTGGATTTCCATGTAGGTCGCGCCCAGCGAGCGGACAACCGCGGGTCTCGGATGCTCTCCCGGATGCGAGCCCACCGTGCGAGAGGCGGACCCGGAGGCGGCCGGCCCAGCTCACCCCCAGAGAGGCCATGGCCAGGGTCAGGCATAAAAGGGGGGTGTTTTTCCGTCCGTCCACTCCTCTCCTTAAAATCCCTGTGTGGTGGCGGCGTGCCGTTCTCCCATCCCTCCCTTGGGGTGTCTGTTTTCTTTCAGTCCCGTGCCCAGTGTTGTGCGAGGGAGTTTTGTTGTAAGATTCTTTCTTTCTTTCTTTAAGTCATGGTACATGTACCATCCTGCTTGTCTTTGTTTGCTCTGAGAACGTTGGCGCGCTCTGTCGTGAGCGTCTTCCCAGACGCCAGCTTGAGCGTCACGCTGCGATCGTCCTCACCCAGCTCCACGATCTTGCCCGCCTCGTAGGTGACATCGTCGTTGATGTAGCACCAGGCGGCGTCGCCCTTCTGCCACTCGGCCATGAGGCGCTTTTTCCGCGCGGGCGCCGGCTTTTTCCTCGCGTGCAGCGGCGGCGTCGAGGAAAGAAAGTAATACGCGGGGCGCCGTCGCCTGTATGTTCTTGGCAAAGGAAGACACAGAGCTCACACAAAATCACAGTGGGTGGCATGGCCATATGTTTTCTTTCTTTCTTTTAGAAAAGTCATGGTAGAGCGACGTCTTGATCCATGCAGGGCCATATGACTGCAGAGAAGCAACGCCCTCTCCACAGGAAGGACGGACCGCCCGCCCGCCACGTCAAAAACCCCGCGATTCGCGCGAAACGTGCGTACGGCCACATGGAGAGAGAGTTGGATGCGTGGACAATTCGCCGCGCTCGAGAGACTCGATGCGTGCGCCGAGTGGCTGGCGCGCGGGGCATTTCCGCTGTCGCCGCTAGTTGAAAACTGAAGCTCCACTGGTCGCTCCATCGCCGCCTGTTGCCCATTCGGATGCTTCACTCAGGACGCGCTAGCAGCAGCGCAATGCTGTGTGCTCAGAGCTATGCCGGCGCCTCCTAGCCTACTTCCTGTGGGACCGGAGGGAGCGCGCGTCCGTACCGAGTCGGGAGAGCACAGAGGAAAGGCACGGTCCTCACACGGCAGATATCCCCGCCGCGCCCTGCGCAACGCGAACCGGAGAGCGGAGAGGTCCTGGGCGTCTCGATCTCAGCGACGTCCGAGAGTGCCGTGTGAGTGTCTGTCGTCTGTTGTGTGTCTGAGAGACCTTGTCGGCTGTCCCTCGGGCCTCGCTCTCCCTGTCGGACACGGCTGTTGGACACGAAACGGACCTCAGAGACGAGAGAGCGCGCGGCGCGGCCGCCGCTCGGCGGTGTGTTCAAACGATAAATAAAGCATGCATGCTCGCGCGCACGACACGTTCGTGCGCTAAGAGCACATACACCACAGCCAGTTAAATGCTCATCACAAACACACACACGACCGGGGCGGTCGCCGCAGAGATCGACCGGGAAAGGGATATATCGAGACGAAGGCGGGCCGGTCCGTCCCTCGCGTCACAGCAGCTGATCGTACCCGTACCCACCGGCCGGCTTCGCCCCGGCCAGGCCGGCCGGCTTGCCCGCCGCCGTGCCGCCCTGCTGGTCGGGCGGCGGCCCGTTCCGCCGGTGCAACTTCTGCCACACCTCTCGCTGCGTGAGCCCTCCGCCGACGGCGAGCAGCAGGAAGAGCGTCATCGGGCTGCGCAGGTACGGGTCGTGGATGAAGTCGGCAAAGAAGGAGTAGGGGTGGCCGGCGAGGGTCGCAAAGTTGGGCTCGTACCTGCGCGTGCGCGGCGGCGGAGGTCCAAGTGGAGGCGGAGGGCGGAGGGCCGGGAGGAGGGGCGGAGGGCGGTGGTGGGCGCGCCTGAGGAAGGCCTGGTAGCGCGGCTCCTCGGTGACGAGGAAGAGCTCGACGTAGCTCCGCGTCGCCACCCACGAGCCGACGACGGCCGACACGTACAGCCAGAAGGTGTCCCCGACCATCAGCATCACGACCGCCCCGACCACCGCCAGCAGCATCCGGATGGTGCGCTGCACCTCGGCCCCCGCGGGCGAGGACTGCATCTCGAGCAGCCCGTACGCGGAGTTCCCGGCGACCTCCCCGAAGAGGAGCCCCAGCGCGACGTGCAGCCCCTTCCGGAAGGCGAGCATCCCCACGCCGACCAGCAGCCCCGCGAGCAGCGTCGTCGACTCGAGCGTCTCGCAGCTCATCCGCGAGTCTGCGGCGCGCGGCAGGAAGATGTCGTCGAGGAGCAGCGCGCCGCCGATGCCGATCAGCGCACCCAGCAAGAAGGACATCGGCCGGGTCAGGTGGACGCCCAAGAAGGTGAGCAGGAGAGCGCCAAACATCACGGCCTGCGGGCGGCGGCGCGCGGGCTGAGGGAGCGGCCAGACGGGACCGCCCGCCTGCGGGCGGCACGCACAGACTCTGCACACAGCGCGGCGACGCCGTGCTCCGGCCGCAGCACCTCGTAGACTGCGCCGAGCAGCTCGTGTGGCTCGTAGTCGCTAAAGCCGAGCCGCGTCGCGACGCAGTCGTAGTAGCTGTCCCAGACGCCCGATTCGCCGAGCTGGGACGCCGCCGCGCGCAGGTCCTCCACCACGGGACTCGTCATGCGCTGGGCTAGCCCAGCGGTGCGGGAGAGGCCAATGCAAACAAGGTGCCGGATGCATGAAAAGAAAAATCAAGCGGCATAAAAAGAATCCAGGCCGCGCGGACGGTCGCGACGGCAGCGAGGCGCCCGAGCACTCAAACCAGCGCAACTGACCGTCTGCGTCTGCGTCTGCGTCGGCGGGCCAAGCCGCTCCATGAACTTCTTCAGCAGCGGGCCCAACCTCGAGAAGCAGGTCTTCGACCTGAAGCTCACCAGCAAGCAGTTTGACCGCATGTCTGCAAAGAGCACGAAGCAGGAGAAGGCGGAGCTGCTCAAGGCGCGACCGAGCTGGCGCGCCTGCGCTCTCCCACACGCTGACCGGAGAGAGCCGCCTGATCGCAGGTGAAGAAGGAGATGGAGAAGGGCAACATGGACGTGGCTAGGATCCACGCACAGGTGCGGACCCGCGCTGCCACCAGACCCGGCACCGCCGCGCCACGCGCTTCACCCGGCCCCGCTGTGTCAGAACGCGATCCGCATCCGCAACACCGCGACCAACTACCTGAAGCTCGCCAGCCGCATGGACGCGGTCGCCGCGCGGATTGACCAGGCGATACAAATGAAGGCTGTCACCAAGCAGATGGGAGGCGTGGTCAAGGGGATGGACAAGGCGGCGCGGCCGCCCGCTCCCCTCCGCCCCGCGCCCGGCGGTCGACCGCGCGCCGCCGCCCTCCCTCTCTCCCCTCGCGCCTCGCAGGCGCTCAAGTCGATGGACATGGAGCAGATAGGGCAGGTGATGGAGCAGTTTGAGAGCTCGTTTGAGAACCTCGACCTCGCGTCGGCCACGGTGGAGAACGCGCTGGGGGGGGCCACCGCCGCCTCGATGCCCGAGGCCGAGGTCGACGAGCTGCTCGACGCAGTCAGTGCCGAGCACGGCCTCGAGATTGCAAACAAGGCGGCGGCGGTGGGCAAGGGGGCGGTGCAGATGGGGGCGGCGGCGGACGAGCACGATGACGCGCTCGAGAAGCGGCTCCAAGCGCTGCGCGAAGGCGCGATGTGAGGGCGCTGCCTTGGACGAGTTGGGGTGTACGGGTCTCGTGCTGTGTCTTGTTGTCAGTGAGAGAGAGCCGCGGGCGGCGGCGGCCCGCGGCGGTCGCACACGCGCTCGCGGCGCGGGTGCCGGCGACGCACACGGCGTGCGCGGCGAGGCGGGGAGGGCCCTCCGTGGGACAAGGGGCAAGGAGCGCCATGGTACATTACGCCTCGAGTTCATGTGAGTTCAAGTTGCTCATCACATCACTCGTGACACGGCCAGAAACACGCGGCCAGAAGCATATACGAACACATAGACAACACATGTGCATCGGTTGAGAGGGACGAGCACCGGGTCGTGCTTCGCACTTGACTTAAGAATCGCTGCGCTGGGGACGGAAGATGCGCCCGTCCTCGTGCAGGTAGCGGCCGTCCGGAAGCACCTACTCATAGGCTGACGAGTGACGTCACGGCTGTGTCAGTGATGTTCACAATCGTGCGGCGCCGGCTCACCCTGATCACTCCCGGCGGCAACTGCGGTTCACTGCCCACGGGGACGTTCGAGAAATCCCCTCGCAGATACAGGTAGCCAAAGTAGACCGAGAAGAAGGCCCATATGCCAGCAGGGATGAGCCAGTGCGAGCCCTTCTTTGCGTCAAGAAGGAGTTCCGGATTGGTGAGCTTGAAGAGCAGCGTCGCGTCAGGCCGAGGCGGAGGTGGCGGGATCGGCTTTCCAGAGAGGCGCCGGCGTGCTCGCCAGAGTACAGCGCGCATGTGAGGCAAACAGGCGTCCCCGGTGTGAAAGAAAGAAAGATTTTCCCCAGCTGCTCGACAGGCTGCGGGCATCGCTGCGGCAGAAAGCGCCCGCCCTCTGCTTTGCTTTCGCCCGCGCTTTACGACAACTTTCGGTTTATCATAGCCGCCGAACTTTACCTCGCTGTTTCTTTATAGGCGTCTCGCAGCTGCGTATTCTCGTATTAGTCGTAGTGTCCGTGTCCACTAGCTCCGAGTAGAGGGGGCGTTCTGCAGTTAAGGGGAAACCCGGTACACGGAGCCCTCTCGGAGAACTGTGTTTACTTTAAGGGACGGTGCGTATTCTCGTATCACTAGCTCCGAGTAGAGGGTGCGTTCCGGCTTCCGCCGCTAGGGGACACCCAAAGCGCAGAACTAACCCTCGGAGACCCGTGTTTACTTTAAGGCCCTTGCCCTGCGAATGCGCGCCCCCCCCTAGCTAGGGGTCAGGGCTCTCTAGCCCGTAGCCCGATGCCGATCATCCGGCCCGCTGGATGCGCTTCTCAGCTCACCGGCCCTGGATGTGAGGTTGCCGACTGCACTCCAAGTGCTCCAAGTGCTCCTTCCCCGCTGCCATCTTGAGGTCCTCGCCTTAAAATCTTGGTGGCGGCGTCCCGTCCTCCCATCCCTCCCTTGCCTTCTCTGGTTTCTGACTCTGACTTTGTTTAAATAAGTTTTGGGGTTTTGTCTTCATACTTCAAACTTCACTATTAGTATCTCGATCAAAAAAAAAACAATCACCGCCGCCGTCGGCGCCGCCACCACCGCCGCCCTCGCCACCGCCACCCTCGTCGCCGCCGCCGGAAAAGTACTGCCGTTGCGATTCCGGGGAGTACACGATTGGGGAGGACTTTCTGGGCTCGGCAACGCAGTGCCTCCCAGAGGGAACGCCAGCCTTCATGAGTGACACGGAGTCGCTGGATTTCATGGAGGCTCTCGTCAAGGAGAGTTCCACGGCCGAGATGGGCTCGCTGCGCTCCTCCTCCGCTAAAGGTTTCGGCTACTTCCACGTTGTTGGGGGCGCGATCCTCGTCTCGGTCGGCTTTCTGGCTGGGCGCGCGATGGCGCAGGCCACCGCCTCAGGTGTGCACCACCCACGCGCGCCCTGCATAGCGGAAGCCCGCGGTCACACTTGCCCATTCGACGCAGCGCTGACGCGCATGATTGGAGCAGGTACGAGGTCGTCGGGCATGCTGTGAACACCTGAGTCGTGGGGGAAGCCAGCCCGATGGCCCCTGCCGCTGAGAATAAATACAAATGTCCGGGAGGCGGGCTCAGGAACTCGTGAGAGGTGCGCGCCGGCGGCGGCGGCGGCGCAACCATACAGTCTGAGTGGTGATCGTGCAAGGTGTCACACTGAGCGATAGCGGCCACACCGGCGTGCGAAGCAGAGGAGGAGCGCGGTGGTGGTGAGCATCGCCGTGAGATGACATGTAGAGAAGCCACGAAGGCACAGACAATCAAACAGGACACAAAAACGACAAAGAAAGATAAAGAATGCGATCGTGTGTGCGGCCGCTACCAATAAAAGAATTGCGCGCCGGGGTGCATGGGTGCATATGCCCGGGAACAGCCCCTCCTGGCCCGATGCGCGCGCGAAGCCATGCAAAGGCGTCGAGCTGCTTGATCAGCTCGACAAAGACGGCGCGTGCAGCCGCCTTGGTGAGGATGTCGGCGAGCATCACGGCTCCGGGTAGAGGTGTTCAACGGAGATCACCTCGCGTGCGACGAGATCACGGAGGAACTCGGCAGCGCGCAGGATGTGCTTGGTCTTCTTGAATGCGACGGGGTCGAAGGCCATGCCGACGGCGGACTTGGAGTCGCACTTGATGACGCTGGGGGCGTCGCGACAGGGATGCCGAGGTCGATGAGCAGCTCCGCGCGAATGAAGATAACCTCCTTTGGCAGCAAGCATAGCGCCAAAGAACTCGGCCTCGGCGCTGGAAAGGGTGGCGGAGCGCTGCATCTTTGAGAGCCAGTGAAAGAGGCACCTGTGGTAGAAGAACATCCCGCCAGAGCACGAAAACTTGGTGGCCCAGCTCGAGTCGACAAAGCTCTCGAGGCCACGGACGGGATTAGGGCGCATGATAAAAGCGCGGCCAGCGGTGTTGCGCAAGTAGACGAGGACGCGATTTGTGTGTGTAATACGTCTACAAGTTGCTATGACTGCAGTCTTCGACCATCTGAGCCACCCCCCCCCCTTCCTCCCTGCCCCGCCCCCGCCTTTCCTCTTCTCCCCTTCCGGCCCAGCTCCACTCATCCATCTCTCGCCATCTCCTGCAGGTGCAGGGGAGATACGAAACGAAAATTGATGGGCTTGCCCATCCCGGAGTGGTTCGACCCCACATAAATCCGAGACGGTGACGGGATGCTGTCGTGTGGTGGTCTCAGGCCCAGTGAGGTAGTGCATCTGACTATCCCGGATCCTGCTGAACAAGCTCCTCTTGTAGCTCGATCGGTCACACCGCCATCGCCGTCGGGGAGAGGGGGGACGACACTGCTTCTGCAGCGTGCACCTCGATCCTGTACCGTGTTTGTTATGGCCCCCCCAAATGAACACACCAGTGAGGGTGGGCGAGACGATCGAGGGGTCCCGTACCATGCGGAATCGACCCTATCAAGTGCTCATACAAGTGCTCAAGGACGCGAATTGCAGCCTTAAAGTGCGACGGGCCGGGGTTGGTCATGAAGCGGGCGAGCTGCGAGGCGGAGTAGGCGATGTCGACGCGCGTCATATTCGCAAGCTAAAGAAGCCGCCGACGATGGCCATGTACGCATCGCGAAACTTGGACATCTCGTCGACGTCGTACTCGACGGAGCCGAGAACGGGCTGATCGGCGGGAGAGAGCTCGAGGCCTTCCTCACGTCAATCGGCGAGTCGCGAAGAGACGAGAGCGCGAGCGATCGAAGTACGACTCGAACTTTGCGACGAGGTCGGCGGTGTAGAGGTCCTGAGACAAGGTCAGAGAACGAGCAGCGCGGTTGCGAGTGATGGCGGTGTTGAGCGGAGGATCCACTCGAGCTCGCCCTTGTCCTCGGTAGGAGAGCGTCGCGAGATGTCGGCAACAAAGCGCGCACGTAAGTTGGGGCAGTTGTCGGCGAGGAGTGTCGTCGACATAGACGAGAGCCCACAAGACGGTGCCGTCCTTCTCGTAGGTGTAGAGGCAGACGTCGATGGTCGAGCGCACAAAGCCCCACGACACGAGGAAGGAAGAGAGGAGCTGAGCCCATTCGTAGGGTTGTCAAACGTTAAGAGCTGAACAGTGTTGCTAGTGTTAACAGTAACAACAGAACAACAGCAGTGGGGCTCCCCAACAACAGTGTAGCTTACGTTAGGCGAAATTATTAGGCCGACTGAACAACAGTAAGGAAGGCCTGGCAGTGACCCACGACGATCTCCAGCGTCCAGTGCGGGTAATACCCGAAAATACCCGGAAAATCCCAGGTATTTTCGGGTTTTACCCCTTACCCGGGTTTTTTGCCATTTTCTGCTTGCTGGCCGCTGAAGCCTGAACAAACAGAGATCAGAGTATAAAGCGTAATACAACAGTAACAAACAGTAACAGCATGGGCTGGGATGAACACTTGAACAACGTTGAGGATTTCAGCCAACAATAGCGCAACTGTAGGCCCCAAATTAACGTTTGACAACCCTACCCATTCGCGACAGGTACGTATATGATATAAGGCCATACCAAGGTACACCGTACTGCGTTACTCACGCCGAGTTCGCCGACGCGCGCGCACGCAAGGCGCGGTGACTTCGTCGTCATGCCTCTCAGGCGCTGAGCGCGCTCTCTGACAGCACGACGTCGTCGTGCTCTCTGTGATCCCACACGTACATGCTGCATCTGCTCAGAGACTCACTGAGCGCGCGCCTGCTGCTTGCGCCGTGCGGCGATGGCGAGCCAGTGCGCGCCGCTCCGCGAGGCTCCGGGTGCGGGCGGCGGGTCCCCCTCGTCGCGCGCCGCCCGGAGCACGTGGTGACACAGCGAGCGGAGGAACGGGCGCTGCAACGGCTCGTCGTCGCGCGCCTCCGCGTGGGCCAGCAGCAGCCGCAGCGAGCGCATTCCGACCGCGCAGCGGTTGCGCTGGAGCCGTAGCGCTGTGTGGTAGAGCAGGAGGTACGCTGGCACCAAGTCGGGCTTCTCCTGGGTGAGGCACTCATACAGCAGCCGGTCGCAAAAGGTGTGCAGCTCCACCGCGTCGGGGGAAGCGGTGAGCGCTGTCGCGGCGGGCGTGGCGGCGGGCGCGGCGGCGCGGCGGCAGAGGTGCTGCGCAAAAGCGCGAATGGCCGGCTCGGAGCAGAAATGGGAGAGGGACGTCTCGCGCGGCGCGGCGGCGCTGCCAAAGGGGCGGCAAAAGATGGACGAGAGGCCGTGCGCGTCCTGCTTGTACGGGAGGTGGCCAGTCTTGCGCTTCACCCAGAGCACGCGCTGGCGCAACGCGGCGGCGTGGTCCGGGCGACGGCGCACGAGCAGCGACCGGCCCCAGTAGCGCGGCGAAGCGAGCGTGAGCGACCTACGCGCACACAACATGCGTGGTGGGCGCCGCGCACCCCTTGGCGGCGCAGCGCGCCGAGCGAGGGCGGACTCTATGCTGTTGCGCGGCGGCAGCTGGCACGGCGTGCTGAGGAGCAGCTCGCGCCGCTCGCGGCCGCGCAGCACGAGCCGCAGCGGGATCATGGCGGGCTCGCCCGTGTCGACGTCCACCGCTTCGAGGCAGCGCGCCTCGGCCGCGAGCACGTACAGGTGGCGCAGCGCTTGCAAGTGGTACCGCCCGTCCGTCGGCGCGAGCGGGAAGCGAGGGAAGAGCGACGTCACGAGGGCGGCGACCGCCGCCTTGCTCGTGCCGAGGGTGAGCCGCCCGCCGCCGAGGAAGAGGAGCCTACGGGCCGGAGGCGCGCGCACTCGCGACGCTGTGGGGCCAGCCCCGCCAAAGCCGCACCGCGCCACGCCGCGCGCCCGATCGCCATCGAGATGGACATGTGGAAGCCGTACGAGACGTCGTTGTCCGCGCAGCGGCGCAGCACGCGCAGCAGCCGCAAGCTGCCGAGGTGTCCGCTGCCCGCCATGACGCAAGCCATGGCGAGGGCGGCAGTCCCCAAGCACGACTCGACCGTCGGCCTGTCCGCGCGGGTCCCCTCGGTGCTCGCCGCCGCGCCGCCCAGTGCGAGCCGCAGCGCGTAAAAGTGGTGCACCTTTGGGCGAGGTGCGGCCGAGGTGCGGCCGAGGTGCGGCCGAGGTGCGGCCGAAGCGTGGCCGAGGTGTGGTCGAGATGGCGCGTGAAAGCGGCGATTTCGGGCCCGGGGTTGTGCGTTTATGTGAAAGCGGCGCTCCTTGGCGTGCAAGACGTCGTGCGCCGCCTGGTTGCAGCTGCCGGCGAAGCGGAGGCCGAGCACGAGGCAGGCGCCCGCGAGGCTGTTGAGCCTCGCCAGCCGGAGGGTGGTCGAGTCCGGCTCGAGCCCGCCACGCTCGCCGCCGCCGGTGGAGGGGGTGAGCTGCGAGTTGACCCACGCGTCCGTCGGCCGCACCGAGTCCCAGAGGATGAGGCCGCGCGCGAGGACGCGGAGCAGGACGAGGTCGGGCCGCACGCAGCGGAGGGCGTGCACCGTGTGAGGCACCTGCACGCGGGTGGGGAGTGGGTGGGGGTGGGTGGGTCGGGGGGGGGGCTTCTCTGCGCCACTGGAGGGGGCACCCGCGGGTGCGGAGGGGGCACCCGCGGGTGCGTGCGTGCGTGCGTGTGTGTGCGTGCGTGCGCGTGCGTGTATCTCGGGGGCGGGAGGGCACGCCTCGAGCTGTGCCGCCACGGAGGCGTTGTTGGACTTGCAGAAGAGGAGGCCGAGCGCGAGGGTGGCGCCGGCGGCGGTGACGTCGACGTTGACGCGCGGCCCCTCGCGGATGCGGTAGCAGCGCGTGGCGAGGGAAGCGGTCGGCTCCTTGGCCTGCGGCGAGGAGGCCTCGTGCGAGGGGCGAGCTAGGGGACGGGGCGCACGCCTGCCCCAGGCGCGGAGAGCTAACGGGGTGGGGTAATGGCGCGCCATGCCGTCGCCGCCGTCCGGGGAGCTGTAGACGGGCGCGCGGCCGTGCATGTAGCTCCCGAGCTTGTCCTCGATGAAGAGGTCGGCGAGGCCGGGGTCGGAGCCGCGGCCGAGCGAGACGAGCCCGAGCGCGATGCCGGCGGCGACCGAGTAGCTCTCGCGGCAGCCGAGCAGCTCGTTGGTCGGGGGGCGGGCGATCTCGCCGAGCATCACCTGCGCAGCGAGCCGCGCCACTGAGCAGCTGGGCGACCTCTCGCTCGCGCGCTCTCGCGGTCGGCGGAAGCGGCGCCTCGGTCATGAGCCTCTGGCCGCTGGCTTGGTAGAGGAGGCCGACGCCGACCAGCGCCGAGATTTGCACGAGGGCGGGCACCTAGCCACGGCGCGGCCGAGGTGTGGCCGAGGTGTGGCCGAGGTGTGGCCGAGGTGTGGCCGAGGTGGGTGTGGCCGGGGCTGTGGGTCGGAGAGGTCTCGAGGGGCGGGGAGTGGTGAGGGCTGTGGGGGGGGGGGGGGGGTTTCCGTGGCCGGCTGCTCTGGTGAGTGGCTGCTTTGGTGGGGTGGGGTTGGGTGTGTGTGTGTGTGGTGTGTGTGTGTGGGGGGGGGGAGGCACACCTCGAGCTCGAGCTCCGTGAAGGAGGGCGGGTGGAGGGCCGGGATGTGCAGGCAGAGCATCTTTGCGATGGCGGGGTCCTCGCTGCCCCGCTTGCCCGCCGCCATGCCGACGAGGAGGGCCATCATCGTCACGTGGTGGCCTTGCGACATCAGGCGGTACACGTCCGTGTTGGCCAGCGAGTTGAGCCGCCCCTGCAGCCCCATCCCGAGAAGGAAGCCGGCGTAGGCGTGCTGGCGCGCCTTTGGCTGGTTGTGCATGATCCAGTGCCGCCCCAGCTCGCCGTGCTGCACCGGCCCGCAGCCGGGCGGGGAGAGGCGGAGCGCCGAGGCGCACCCGTTGTGGAACTCGGGCCACATCAGGTGGTCGGGCGGGAAGGCGCTCGTGTCCAGCTCGACCTACGGAGAGCAGCGGCCACGCGCCTCTCGCCCCTCCACCCCAGCCCCCCCCCACCCCACAGACACACGAGCGCGGGGGGCGTCCGCACCGTCGCCGCCTTTGGCGAGGTGCGCCCCTTCAGGTCGAGAGGCGCGAGGCGCAGCGACTCGACCAGCTCCGCCGGCGAAGAGGCCAGCGTAACCATGCCCCGCCCGACCGAGAGCGCCATCGTGCGGCGGCAGAGCAGCGCGAGCTTGGCCTGCTGCTCGTGCACGAGGTCGTGCTCCGACATCTCGGCGTTGGTGCCCACCGAGCGGAGGGGGATCGGCCGCGAGGAGCAGAGCAGCCGGCGCACCTGGCGGAGGAGGGGAGGGTCAGGGGGGAGAGGGGTGCGGGGGGGAAGCAGGGGGGGGAGGTCTTGGGACAGAGGTCTGGGGGATCTGGTCGGGGCCGTGCGTGCGAGCGGCATTTCTCTCGGCTGTCTGTCGGCTATCTCTCGGCTTATCTCTCGGCTATCTCTCGGCATGTCTCTCGGCATGTCTCTCGGCTGCCTCTCGGCTGCCTCTCGGCTGCCTCTCGGCTGCCTCTCGGCTGCCTCTCGGCTTGCCTCTCGGCTTGCATCTGGCCTCGTGCAGGCGGAGGTCGCGCGCGAAACGGAGGCTCGACGAGCGCGCCAGGGCGAGCATGCCGTCCGGGTCGTCTTCCGGCGCCTCGGAGGGCGCCGTGCCGGGCGACAGGCTGCAGGCGGAGGGGTGAGGTGAGGGGGCGAGGGCGAGACTCCCCCCCCCCGCATCTCCGCGTCCCTGAGAGAGGCCGCAGCCTCAGTGCGCAGCGTGAGCCTCACTGCGCTCCGTGAGTGAGCAACGCGAGTGGGGGAGCGTGTCTCGGCTACTATCGGCGCCTGATCGAGGCGGCCCGCCGAGCCACCTGCGCCTGCCGCGCCAGGTCCTCGCGCGCCAGCAGCGCGCACGCGCCGACCGGCCAGTGCGGCGAGGCGAGGTGGCGGCATGCGCGCCGCGCCTCGAGGAGCGGGAAGGAGAGGCCGAGCGGCAGCACCTCGAGCTGCTTCGGACCAAAATGCTCCCGCGCCATCGCGAGCACGAGGCCCTCCCGCGCGCCGCCGCCGCCACCGCCGCCGCCGCCCTCCTCGCCGCCGCCGCCCTCCTCGCCGCCGCCGCCGCCGCCCTCGCCGCCGCCGCCGCGGCCGCCGAGCGCGTCGCTGCCTCCGCCCGACTCCGCGGCGGGGGAGCGCCGCGCGAGACTCTCGTAGAAGGAGGCGACTCGCCTGCTCAGCCGCGCGGTAGCGCTGCGCGAGCGGGCGAGCGGCGCAAACGGCGTGCAGAGGTCGGGCGGGCAGAGGTCGGGCGCCTAGACCGAACGCCGCCGCCGTCGTGACCAGTCTCCACCGTTGCGACGATGTCATCCCTCTCGAACAGGGACGCCGCCTCGTGCGGCGGCGCGGCGCGGCGCGGCGCGAGGATGCGCCGCGCCGCCGTGAAGAACTCGAAGGGCAGCTCGCCTCCGTGGAGCTCGCCGCCGCCGGCCGGCGCGTCGGCGAGCCAAGCGCCGCCCCCCTCCCCTCCGGCCCCCGCGCCCCCTCCGGCCCTGCTCACCCCTCCGGCCCTGCTCACTATGCTGCGCGCGTCTTCGAAGCCCGCGCTGCGGATGGGGGACCCGCCGCGCATGTTGCGCCGGTAGAGGCGGCAGAAGTGGCCCTCGCCGAGCCGCGTCGCGAGGCGGAGCAGCAGCGCCTGGGGAAAGGGAGGCAGCCGTGACGCGAGCTGCAGCACTCGTACGCCTCGATGCGGAGCAGCAGCGCCGCGAGCTCGTCGAGCAGCGGCCACGAGAGAGAGCAGAGCTGCAGCGCCTGCGCGATCCAGACCGCCACACGCTCATCGTGTGGCGAGCGGCGGCCACGAGGCGAAGCGCGGCTCTGCAAGCCTCGTGCGCCACATGCAGCGCCCTCAGCGCCGCGCCGCCGTGCGGACTCAGCACGCCGGCGCCGCCGCCGGCGGAGGGCGCGTGGGGCGGCTCGAGGCTGCGCGAGACCTCCTCCGGAGGCGCGGGCGCGAGCCCGTGCAGCGAGGCGCCTGGTCTCGCGGCTCACATCGGGTCACCTCGGGTGATCTCGCTCAATCTCCCCGCTAGCCCCCCCCCCCCCCCGTGTGCAGCGAGGCGCCGTTGGCGAGGCGAACGTGAGTGCGGTGCAGCAGCGTCGCGCGCCACGCAGCCTCGCCGCGCGGGGACGAAGACGAGGCGGCGGCGGCGGGCGGCGACGGCGCGCCGGCGAAGCAGCTCCAAAAGGCGTCGCGGAACGCGGCCCACGGCGGGACATGCGCGCCGCGCGCCGCGCTCACGACTGCAGCAGTCAGCTCGGCGAAGGCGGGCGGGGGGAGGGTCTGCTCGAGTGCGGCGAGGCAGAGGGAGGCGGTCTCGTCGTGGGGGAGGGAGGCGCCTGCGGGGAAGGCTCCGGCGAGGCTCAGAGGGATGGCGCAGCCAGGGACGCCGCTCGCCGAAGGACGGAGGGGCGAGCGCGCCGCCAGGAGGGATGCCGCCCCAGCGGCCTGCTTGGCAGAGAGCGTCGCCACTCGCCGGCTTCCTCGGCGGGGGGGCCGTCCAGACCCGGCGCAGCTCCCCGCCCACCACCGCCCACGTCGTCACCGCGCCGTCGCCGCCGAGCGTCTCGAGCCTGCGAGGAGGGGAGGCAGCGGCGCGCGGGCAAGTCAAGGGGAGGCAGCGGCGAGCGGGCCGGTCAAGGCGCTGCCGCCGTGCAGCCTCGAGACGGCCGTGTGCTCGTGCGTGCGGGAAGCGGCGGTGCGGTGTGGGCGCGGCGTGACTCAGGCGGGACGGCCGCCTCCAGGCGCAGCACAGCCCGGGGCGTGCATCACTCGCCTCACACCGAGTGCAGCGGGCATATCTCTCGCATCTACCGTCTCTGAGCCGGGGCGGGGTGTCGGCGGGGCAAGCGACCGGCCGCGCGGCGACGGCGGCGACGGCGCCGCACGGGCGCGAGGGGAGGGGGGGGGCGCCGGCGTGGCCGGCTGGCAGCGCCACGCGGTGCACCTGCGCCAGCGCCGCCCCGCCTCCGCCTCGCTCTGGTAGGACGAGGCAGAGCAGGACGCACGCGCTGCTCGCGGCAAAGAGAAAGGCGTCGGACGCAGGCGCCGGCGCCGGCTCGCTCCAGACGCAGCGCAGCAGGACGGCGCCATCCTCGCCCTCGCCGCCCTCCGTCGCCAAGGCCCACGCCACGTGCGCGCCCAGACGAGGGCTGTGCGAGAGCAGCAGCGGCGGCGCCGTGCGCGACGTGAGCAGCACGGTGCCGTCCCAGTCGCCGGACTCGATGCGCAGCGGCCGCGGCGGATCGAGCGGGTGCGACAGGTACAGGAGGCCCGTCTCGCCCGCCACGCGCGGCGTCGACCGCTCCGCCTCAATGAGCACGCCCGCCTCGAGCGCCCAGAGCCGCTGCGCCCGCCACGGCAGCGTCGTGACGTGGATCGCGCCCCGATTGCTCACGAGGGTCACGGTAGATGCGCCGTGCGTGCCTCCGATGGCCCAGACGCCCTGCCGGTCGGCGCAGGAGTGGCCGGGCTCAGGCGTCATGGAGGCGGCACCGTTGTAGTCGGCAGTGAGAAATCGCTCATGATTCACCATGCCGCAATCGTCGCCGGCGCGCGACACGTTCCCGGACTGTCCTGGTTGAGAGTGTGTGCCGCCAAGGCGGGGCTACTCGGGGACAGTGCCGACGGGGCGCGGCTCGTGAGACGACTCCCGCGAAGGCACGGCTGGCATCCGTGGCGTGGGGATCGCCTTCGAAAAGTCGGGCATGGCTCTCCCCGCAACTCTATCGCTAACACGCGCGCACCACCGAGACTGTGGTGGGCGCGCTGCGGTCGCACGTCTACCTCCGTCATAGTGCCACGACGTGCGGCCTAGAATTAGCACACGCGCCTCTGCTTGAATACACTCATACATTGATTGGATTGTCATCGCCTGTGAGCGAGATTAGGGCTAGCCGCAGGCAGCTAGCCTCTGAGGAGGGCGTCCATAGACACCTCACTAGACCCCACACACGGTCTTGTCCGTGCCTCGCCGGCCGGAGAGATTGCTGGAGGTAGAGCAAGCCTGCTCTAGCCTCGCATGTCACTTCCTGTCGTCTGTTGTGTCGTTGTGCCCTTGTTTGTTCTCTTGGCACCTTGGAGTGCTGGGGGGGGCGACAGGGAGGATGTGGCCTTGAGTTATGTGTAAGCCGACTCAGGGTGTGTGGCAGCCCGCTGGCTGTGTGTCTTGTGAGCTTGTTTGTGTCTGTGTGTCGCTCGTGCGTGTCGTCATCATCTGTCCAGCGTCCACCCATACCGCGTTGGTGTCCAGTCCGAGCCTGGCTGTTCTTCACCTTTCTACCTACCTACCTACACCATACGAAAGAACACGTTGGAGCAGCTTCGAAACTGCCACTTTAATTGGTATGGCGGGTGGAGTGCCCTCTACTGCCGCGGCGCCCTTGTCGGTTCGGAGGCGCCCGGCGGCCGCGCTTGGTGCCGACGTCGACCGGCTGCTCCCGCGGCGCCGAGGCGTGCCGCTTCGGGCACGTCTCGCGTGCTGCGAGGTGTCTTTTGGCATGTGAGCGCTCGCCAGAGACGCCAAGATGATTGCCTTCCATGTCTGCGGCCGTGGGCGTGCGGACTGGCCCGCCGGGGTGGGCGAAGCTCCGAGCGGGTCTTCGAGCTCGCCGCCCGCGACGAGCCAGCATGGCTCGTCGCTCGACGGGAGCCTGCCCAGTATGCTCTCAGCATTCTGTAGAGCCTCGCCAAGCTCTCTGGGGAGGTCTACAGGGCCAGGGCGGGCCGCCTCGGGTGCGATGGCGCGCTGAATAGCACCATGACTATACGAGCTCTCGATCGGGTCGCCGGCAGCGGGCTCGCGCGGCGCGCCGCTCGACGGCAGGCTGCTCCCCACCCTTCCAACAGTGTCTTTTGGCTCGCTTGTCTCGCTGCAACCGCCTCCGGGGGCCGGCGCCGGCCGCCTCGCTTCGCCAGCCGCTGCCTTACGCCTACGACACGCGCATCGGCTCGCCGCCCGCGTCGCCTGCGTCGGGCCCGCGTGGCGAGCTGCTCGTCGGGAGCGTGCTCAGCAGGCTGTGCAGCGCAGCCTGACTCACTCAGAGCGCCGCTGAATGCGGCGTGGGGCCGCCGGCGGCGCTGCTGCCGCGCACGCTGCGCTGTGGGCGTCACCATCGCGTCCTCGCCGCGTCGCCGACGTCACTTGCCGCTCGCGGCTGCCCTGCCCTTCCCTGCCATCGCGCAAACAAACACACACACACACAAACACACACACATTATTAATGCTCGGGTAATAATTATTAATTATTAATCATCGGGCGGCGGCGCGGCGCGGCGGCGGGCGGCGCGAGGCGGCGGCGCGGCGAGGCAGCGGGCGACGCAGGGCGGGGCGGCGCGGCGGCGGGTGGTATAATTACTTATTAATTAATTGATAATGAATTAATAATCATCGGGCGGCGGCGCGGCGCGGCGGGCGGGCGACGCGGAGCGGGGCGGCGCGAACATCTGCTCTGATCAGGCCTTGCCCGGCTTCGATGCATGGCGGTGGTAGTGCCATCTTCGCTTCGTACAGACAACGACCCCGCCGCAACCGTCGCCGGCGCACGACACGTTCCCGTAGGCAGGACTGTCCTCGTCGAGAGTGTGTGCCGCCAAGGCGGGACGCACTCAGGGACAGTGCCGACGGGACGCGGCTCGAGAGACGACTCCCGCGAAGGCACGGCTGGCATCCGTGGCGTGGGGCTCGTCTTCGAAAAGTCGGGCTGGGCATGGCTCTACCCGCAACTTTCTCGCTAACACGCGCGCGCCGCCGAGCCTGCGGCGGGCGCGCTGCGGCCGCACGTCTACCTCCGTCATAGTGCCACGACGTGCGGCCTAGAATTAGCACACGCGCCTCTGCTCGCATACACTCATACAATGAATTGACATCTCCCATGAGGGCGAGAGTTAGGGCTAGCTGCTGGCGGCTAGCCTGTGAGGAGAGCGTCCATAGACACCTCACATGACCCCACACACGGTCTCGTCCATGCCTTGCGGCTGGCGACGAGATTGCTAGAGGTGGAGCAAGCCTGCTCTAGCCTCGCATGTTACTTCCTGTCGTCTGTTGTGTCGTTGTGCCCTTGTTTGTACTCTTGGCACCGTGGGTGCTGGGGGGGGCGACAGGGAGGTCAGGACGTGGCCTTGAGCTATGTGTACGCGAACTCAGGGTGTGTGGCAGCAGCTGGCTGTGTGTCTTGTGAGCCTGTTTGTGTCTGTGTGTCGCTCGTGCGTGTCGTCATCATCTGTCCAGCGTCCACCCATACCGCGTTGGTGTCCAGTCCGAGCCCGACTGTTCTTCACCTTCCTACCTACCTACCTTGCTCTGGCGCCCTCCCATCCCTCCTTTGCGTTGACCGTTGTATGTTTTCTTTCTTTTTGGCTCCCATGACACTCACAGACAGAGAGAGAGATTTTAGAAAACCAACCAGAAATCACGACTCTCACAGTGATTTGGCCCTCGGCAGCTTGTCAGCCCTCAGCCGAAGCTGGGGCCGGTCCCGTATAGCCGAGTGACACTCATCTCCTTAAAATCCCTGTGTATGTGTTGCGGCGGCGTGCCGTCCTCATGTGACGGCCCGCCGGTAGGTCGAGGAGTGAGTGCGACGCCGAGACTGGGCGGCGACGGAGGCGGCGAGGTCGAGGCGGCGCGAGGGAGGAGGTGAGGGAGGCGGCGAGGAGAGATTGGTTGAGGGTGTGAGGGGCGAGGGCGGTCAGAAGCAAGGGTCGCCGTCGTCTCGTGTCTCGGCGGCAACTCCAGCCTCCACGTCGCCCGCAACCCCCCGCGCGTCGCAGCCGCCACAGCCCACACGCAGCGGCGCCGGCGGTCGGTGTGGCGACAACAGCTAGACCATCGCCCTGTGCGCGTCCGCCGCGCGTGAAGTGGCATCTCTCAGCTGAACGCGTATAGACGCCGTTCACAGTGAAGTACCGGAGGGGTGCATTGACCACTAGATTGACCATTGTCGGGCCGGTAGTGGAGAGCACCGCCCGCCGCCCGGGCCGCAGCAGCGCGCCGCGCAGTTTGCGAGCAGAACGAGAGCGAGCCAGCCACCTGTTCACAGCAAGCCGCGTGAATGAGACGCTGTTCACACTTGCAGCCAGCGGCTCCCCGATTTCGAGCCCGGACGGTATAATTTCTTTCGCCACCTTAAAGAGGTTTGAGAGAAAGAAAGAAAATAGACAAAACCAAGGGAGGGATGGGAGGACGGCACGCCGCGAAGGCGGATTTCTTCCTTTTGCAGCTGGCGCCTTGCAAACGGCCGCTTCATGACTCTGAGATACTGTGGGAAGGACGGCCCTGGCATGTCGGCACCAGAAGCTGCTATGCGCCAGCAAGCGAGAACAAAATAAAGAAAGGCAGAATAAATTCTTGTCGGTGCCGCCGGGATTTTTTCTTCGTCGCCCGCCTTCCCAACGGTCTCTTGCCCTGGCTCGGCTGGGCGGAGCTGCGACGCCAGCGCGGTCTCCGGGATGTCGTCGGTGGGTGTCGATGTGTCGGCGCTGCTGAGAGAGGAGGAGGCGCCGCCGCTCCCCTCCGCTGGCCCCAAAGCCACCGCATCCGCTGCGGCAGACGGGCGGGCTGTTGGCTCCCTCACTGCTCCTCGCCTGCAGGTGATGGTGGCAGGGTTGGACCACGACGCAGGCTCGGAGCTGGCTTGGCTGGATGCGGCGGCGCACCCCAATCGCCCGGTGTGCCACCACCCACCCACCCGCCAGGGTCACCGCCCCATGCCATACCACGGCCAAGCGACGGCCGAGCTCCGTTCCTTCCCGCCGTCGCGCCTCGCGTTGCGCCGCGGTGGGTCCCCGCCGTCTCTCACGCGCCCCGCGCCGCCTCGCCCCGCGGCCGTGCAGCTCGAGGCCGGCCACGTGCTGCGGCTTCCCCTCTGGTGCGCTGGCAAGCTGCACGACTACGGGCACGTGACCCTCGCGCTGCCGGAGATGTTCTCTGACGGGCCGAGGCGCGACATGGACGCGGACGCGTCGCACCTCAACCTGCGCGAGTGCTGCGACTGGTACTTTGAGACCGGCCGCGAGCTCGCAGGCGGGACCCCCCCCCCCCTCCCAGTCCTCCGCCAAACCCCTCTTCTCTGCGCCTCTGCCGGCTGCGGCCCGCCGTGCCTCCACCCTCCCTCCCTCCTCCCTCCCTCCTCCTCCCTCGCTACCCACCCCGCGCACGCCTCGGCCTCAGGGCGGCTCAACGACGAGAGCCTGCTCGAGACGCTCAGCCGCGGCTTCGTGGTGCGCCGCCGCACCGCCCCCCTCCCCGCACCCTCCCTCCCTCTCTCTGACCCCCCCCCCCCACCGCCTTGCCGCAGGCACGCTTCCACAAGCTGCTGGGCGCGGCGCTCTCCGCCTCGTCGCGCGTCGACACCACCGCGCAGAAGGCCAAGCTCACGCGAGTCGAGCGGGCTCTCTTCGACGCAGGCCCCTCTCGCCCCCTGCAACCCTGCAAGCCCCCTGCAACCCTGCAAGCCCCCTGCAAGCCTGCAAGCCCCCTGCACGCCCCCGCGCGCCTCGCCCCCTCCGCCCCCTCCACCACCGCGAGTACCGCCCTTGCCACCGCCACCCTCACCGCCGCCGCCCGAGCACCCACCCCCCGCCGCCTCCGCCGAGCCCACCGCCACATTTGCCGCCGCACCTCGCCGCCAGCCACGGCTCTCTCTCTCTCTCTCTCTCTCTCTCTCTCTCTCTCTCTCTCTCTCTCTCTCTCTCTCTCTCTCTCTCCGAGCCACAGCTCTGCGGGCAAAAGGCACACACGCGAAATCGTGGCCATCCTGCCCTCCACCTCGCACCCCCGTCTCAAGCCCCGCCCACCCCCCCACCCCCCACCACCCCCATACAGGCCAGCACGCGAAGCGCAGCGCCGACGCCTGGCGCCTCGCAAGGAACGCAAAGCTCGAGGCCTCAAAGTTCGCGGCGCGCCGGCGCAAGCGCAAGGCGGGCGCGGGCGACATATGAGCGCGCGGCTACCTCCCGACGAGCGAGCGAGGCTCGAGGCGGCGTACAACGGTCGGCTTGGAGCCCTCCGGCGGCGCTTGCCCTGCGCCGTTTCTCGCGGAGCGCGGAGGCGGCGGGCGGCAGTGTGCCAGCCCACGCGCCACGCCCCCGGCTGGCTGCACGTGATCGCGGCACGCGGTGGCGCTTCTGCCGCTTCCCCCGCAGCCGAGACCCGGGACCGATGGCTGTGTGCCACATGTACCGCGGGACGACACAAAGTACTGGATCTCATGGCAGGGCGCAGGGGGGGGGATCGAGGCGCGTCCGGCGTATTTGCGGGAGTACGTTATACCCGCGGGGACTGTAATTTTAGGCCCGCATGAGCCATGCATGTATAAAGAAAAATCTGTGTCTGAACGACTGCGTGACAACAGAGGCTAGTGCCATTTCACTCTGACACGCTAATCTTGAAAACGTCTCCAACGGAGCTCCGTGTTGCTTCCAGCGCCCTCCCCCGCGCTCCCTGCGGCCATGGCCGATGCTCCTAGAAAGAGAGGTCATCTGGCTACCGCGAGAGCGACCCAACTCGTCGACATCGTCCGATGATGGTGCCGCAAAGTCAGCCTTCGGAGGCTATCGTGGGGTCGAGCCGGCAGTAGCCGTGACATGTGGTTCCACCACCCCTCGTAGGCTTTGCCTCTGACCGCCACCGTTCCCAGGCTGCCTAATTGGATGGAAAGGAAGGCTCGGCGAGCGTATAGAAGCGTGCTCGACCTCGTCGTGGCAGCCTGCACGGCAGCGCTGGTAGGCGCGATGAGCGTCGTGCCACCTGACCCGAGACGGGTCGCAGGCGTCGTACCGAGCGCGTCGAGACCGTGTCCTGATGTGATCTGCACGGGTGAGTCACGTCGGCGTCAAAGGAGCGACGTGCGACCTGTCAGAGCTTGATCTCCAATCTCAGCGGCGTCGAGTCGTCTCCGGCGGCGACAATTTTGTCCCTCCCCAGGACGCAGCTGCCTCTGGAAGGCACCGAGAGGGACAAAATGGCGCAAATGGTCAAATCAAGGTTTTGTAACGCGAGCTGTGCCACAGTGAAATGGCACTAGCCAGAACGAGAAGAACAGTCAACACCTCACACCGGTGTGTCACCGCGCGCGAGTGGGAGTGCTAGTAGACCGGAGGGCTACGAAGCCTTCACACTCCAAGGGGCTGGCGACTGTGTGACTACGGCTTTATTTAGACTCTAGAGCTGTGTTTAAGCTTTAATAACGTTGTTGGGAGCTGAACAGTGTTGCTAGTGTTTTAATAACAACAGAACAAGGAACAGTGGGGCTTCCCAACAACAGTAGCTAACGTTAGGCCGGCTGAACAACAATATAAGGAAGGCCTATCACTGACAGAGGCAGTGACCCACGACGATCTCCACTGTCCACACTCCAGCGTCCAGCGTACGGGTAATACCCCGAAAATACCTGAAAACCCCCGGGTATTTTCGGGTTTTACCCGGTTTTTTGGGCATTTTCTGCTTGCTGACCACAGAACAACAAGTATCAACAGACAACAGTAACAACAGTGCAGCATGGGCTGGGGAGTAGGGTGAACACTTGGAAGAACACAACGTTAAGCTTATAAGGATTTCAGCCAACACTACTACCAGCGCAACTGTTAGAGGCCCAAAGTTAATGTTAAACAGCTCTAACTGTGACTGCTTTCTCCGCCGCAGCCTCACCCCCAGCCGGAGCCGCGAGCCGGGCAGCCGGCGCTGCCGAGCTCGCCCGCTCCAGGCTCTCCACGGTCCACGGAGCCCCCCGCACGCGCACCGAGTCCAGTGATGGCCATTTACTGGTATAGCCCCCCAGTCCCCCAAGAAGCAGAACAATCAAACACTCTACGCACTACGGCCAAAACACAATCAAATGGTGGTATAAGATTTACCACGACTTCTGAGGCAAAATCTGACAAAAATCGGAGAAATCGGCAAAATACCCGGTATTTTCCTGGTATACCGGGTTTCACCAGGTATACCCGCAAAAGACCCCCGTACTTTTTGCCAATTTGGCTGAATTTGGCCGCAAACCAGCCTCTAGACTCGGCTCAGATCCCGAAAAATTGATGATTCCACGGAGTTTCGTAATTTACCATACTCTCTTCTCATACCATACCACTCCCCAGGAGAATCAAAAAAGTGGTAAATACCACTCTTTTACCAGTAAATCGTAAATGGCCATCACTGATCCGAGTCATCAGACGCATCCACACACCTTTCCTCTCTCGCACCACACACACACAGTCATGGTGGTTTCACACGTGCAATGTGTACGTAGTCGTAGAGCCTTGCCAGATGTCAGAGAGCGCCCTCATCTAGGCGCCTCGTGACCACTTTTCATCTCGCGTCACCTGTGAGATGAGAAAACCAGCCCGTCCCGAGGAGCTGGTCGAGCTGCGCCGCCGGCTCCTCCGTGCAGCCGATGCGCAGGCAGTCCGCGGGAAGTGAGGAGGCACCGTGCTGCAGCCACGCGGGCCACACGTAGTTCTCCCAGTAGACGCGGTACTCCTCCGCGCTGACGCCGCGCTCCTCGTACGAGCTCCTGCCGAGGTGCTTCCGCGTGTACTTTCTGCTGCACAGCTCGGTGGCCGCGTGCTCATCCGCCCACAGCACCGCCGCATGATCGCACATCTGCAGCACTGTCCTCGCGCCCGGGTGGTCGGCGAGAACAAACATGCCGTCCACGACCACAGACTGCGCCGCCTGCTTCGCCGAAACGACCGCGTCCGCGACGCCGCTCCAGTCGATCGCGGCCGGCACGTTCCAGTCTGCGTCGCCGCGCAGCAAAAAGGCGCCTGGAACCTCCTCGCCCGGCCACGGCAGCGCCTGCAGGTCGAAGCGAGGGCAGCGCTCGCGCGGCAGGAAGAAATCGTCGCAGCTGACTACTCGCACCGCCGCCGCTCGCTGCAGCTCGAGCACCAACGTGGACTTCCCGGCCGCCGTGCAGCCGCCCAGCGCCACGACGACCATTTCGCTCTCGCGGGAAAACGACAGCACCGCTCAGGCCCGGGAGCGAACGAGCGGGCGCGGGAGACGGTGAGCCGTCCTAAGCGCGATTGTAGTTTTAATTGTTTCCGAGAGAGCCAGGCTCGTGCAGGTAGGTTCCTTTCTTTTCTTTCTTCTCGCGCCGACGACGCTCACATCATCCGACACGTTTTGTGTATATGGCCGCCCACGCTGATCGCCGATGCGGCATGTTGATTGACCGGCACGTCCCGAAGAATGGCGGCTCGACGATGCGCTCCTTTATGCGGCGCAATCGCGCCGTCTGCAGCTACGTCGGGTGCGGAGTCTGTCGCGAGCCGTTCCATTGCCGCCCAGCAGCTTACGCCACGGTGACTGACAGGTACGACGTGTCGCGCACGTGGCCGTCGCGCGTCGGCTTTACGCACATCAAGCTCGAAGAGCTCACGCAGGCCCTCTCCTCCAACATCTCGGCCGCCTCAGCGTCGAGCGGCGGCTCGCCGTCCGCGATGGCGGCGGCGGCTGGCTGCTGGTGCGTCGAGGCGCACGTCGTCGCCAGCCACTTTTTTGCGCAGCTTGGCGCGCTGCGCGCCTCGCCGTACGGCCGCACGTGCAGCGTGACCGTCGTGCTTCGCGTCCGAGAGCCGCTCTCCTGGTGCGCGACAGCCGTCGGTGGGTGGGAGAGGGGTGGGAGAGGGGTGGGAGAGGGTTGGGCCGTGCGGGCGTCGTCGGTGGCGGTGGCGAGAGGGTGTGGTGCAGCCTCGCCACACCCTCCGCTGGCCGCAGGTACCGCTCCTACTACGACTGGGCCGTCCTCGGCCGCCAGCGGGGCGGGGAGGCGCGGCAGCAGTGGGGCGCAAACTTCACCGACTGGCTGCCGCCCAACCTGCAGTCTGCTCTCCTCTTCCTGCCGGGCTACTCGGCGCAGCACGCGGTGCGGACAAGCGCGCCGAGGCCTTCGCGCTGGAGGCGCATCTCGGCCGCCCTCGCCCAGGTGGACGCGTCGAGGAGCCTTCCCGGACCACTTGCCCCCATGCTCTTCTCGGGCAGCCCTCTTTGGCGGGGGAGGGAGGGGCGGCCCTCCGCACCTCCTCCAACCCCCGGCCACCCCCTCCCTCCCCCTCCCTCCCCCGCCCACCCCCGCCCAACCCCTCCCACCCCCCTCCCTCCCCCTCCCTCCCCCTCCCTCCCCCGCCCTGCAGGTTGACGTGCTCGCCCCGCTCGAGCGGCTCGACGAGGCGGCGGCGGTGGTGATGCACAAGGCCGGCTTCCTGCAGCCCACCGGCTACGAGCGCTTCGCGCCCGGCCCGACCTCCGGCGCCTGGTCGCGCCGCAAGGCGCAGCTTCCCGTTCAGGCGAGCGGCGACTTTTGCGCCGCCGGCCCCCGCCTCCGCGCGTGCGAGGCGGCGGTGCTCGCCGCCGCACCGGACGACCACCGGCTGTACCAGCTGGCCGTCGAGCGGTTCGCGGCGCAGGTAGCGTCCCTGCGCGGGGTCCCCACCTTTGCTCGGACACTCGAGGCCCACTTTGCCGCGGTGGCGGCCGTAGGGCAGGCGGCAGCTGGAAGATGACTGTGTGTCAGTCGGAAACATGGTCAGTGTGATGATATTAGTCTTTATAGTGGCTGTGACCACTCTGCATCCTTCGTGAACTGTTGAACCTCTCTCGCTCTGTGCTTGGATTCCCTCCCACTTTTGTGCTCCGAACACGGCTGTTTTCATCGTGAGGGAGAAGCGGAGAGAAAAGCGCGGCGGGGGCACGCCCACACGCGCACATACACACACGCGCACACGCACACACACTCTCTATCTCTCCAGCTCATGCTCCACCGACATATAGCCTAGCCCGCTCTCTCATCGCGCATAACACACACGCCGCGAAACGGCACACGGGATCGAGAGACAGAGAGAGAGCGCGCGGACGCCCTCGCGCCCCGCGACCCTCCACACCCCGAACGCACCCTCCCCGAACGCACCCCGTCCGCCCGACTCTCGGGCTGCCACCCCCCCTCCACCCCGCCCCTCCACCCCGCCCCTCAGCCAGCCCATCACGCACCGGGCCGACACCTCTGCACACCGCGGGGCGCGTGGGTCGAAGCGCCCCGCCGTCTCCAGCTCTCATCTGCGTGTTCGTCACCAGCTGTCGTCGAAGTCGTCCCAGTCTCCGGCCGACACCTGCAGGCAAGAACCGGGTCTCGCTCTGACCGCGCCGCGGACTCTCCTCTCGCGCCCCGCCCGCCGCCCGCCTTTGCCGCGGCGACCTTGCGGCTCTTACCGCTCGCCCCAACGATGGCGCTGCAGTGCGACACCTTCGGCGCGACAAAGCCCGACCCCCTGCAGGACATGTCGCGGACATGTCGGGGACACTTCAAGGACGCGGCGAAGCCCCCCCCCCCCCCAGCCCGCCGCCCTGTCCCCTCCCCCTCTCACTCGCTCCCGCGCTCGCCCTCTCCTCCGGTCCCTCTCACCCGCCTCCGCTCTAAACTGTATGACTTTCGAA